AGGCAGATTCTTAACCACTGCGCCACCAGGGAAGTCCCTCTTGAAGGGGTCATTAGTCTTGTAGAATTTTCCACATTCTGGATTTGGTGGTCATTATTCTCATGGTATAATTTCATGTGTTCTTTTGTTCTCTGTATTTTCTGTAAACTGAAAATTAAACTTGGAGACTTGATTAGATTCTGCTTCAATTTTCTTTTAAACAATACTTCATATGTTGTCTTGTGTACTTTGTATTACAAAACATCAGGAGGCAAGATCTGGTCGAGATGTTAGTATTGAGCAGTGGGCGCAGGTGTTCGATTCTTTCACTACAAAATTCCTTACCAACCTTTCTTCTAATGATTTTAATGGTCACAAATAATCACCGCTTAGATCTGTTATTTCATTGTCTGTTGGCAAGTGTCTGTGGAATCTGTAGTACGGCCCCATTTTCCATCCTGTTGTTGGCTCTGGTTGCCTTTTCTCTTTTTTTTCCCTAGATGATTCTAACCAGAGGATTATCAATTTTATTAGTTATTTTGAAGAATCAAGTTTTGTCTTTGAATTCCTCCGTTATATGTTCATTTTCTAGTTCAGTAATTTTTGCTCTAATCTGTATTATTTTCTTCCTTGGAGTTTTTTTGGGGGGCGGAATTTAATTGCTGTTCTTTTTCTTACTTCTTGTGAGGAATGCTCAACATTTTACTTTCTTGGCCTTTCCTTTATAACATCTGCATTTTACATTTTAAGATTGCTATTAAGTACTATATTAAGTATTATAAATACTTAAATATTATATTAGTTGCATCCTCAAGTTCTGATAGGCAATATTTTCATTACCTTTTAGTACAGAGTATTTTTAACATCCATAATGATTTCTCCTTTGACCAATGAGTTATTTAGAAGTATGTTGATTAATTTAGAAATATTTGAAGATTTTCCAGGTATCTTTCTGTTATTTGATTCTTAGTTTAAGTCTTTTGTGGTCAGAGAACATACTTTGTATTATTTCTCTTCTTTACAAGTCGCTGAGATTTGTTTTATGGCTCAGAAATCTACTCTAACTTGTTGCATGTTTCATGTGCGCTTGAAAAGAACGTGCATCCCAACGTTTTTGGGTAGAGTATCCTATCAATGTCAACTTGGAAAGTTGTTTGAAACCATTATTCAGGTCTTGTCTATTCCTGTTTATTTTCTGTCTTCTTGTTCTGTCGATTACTGAGAGAGGAATGTTGGAATCTGTGACAATAATCATGGATTTATCTGTTTTTCTTTCAGTTCTAACAGTTTTCATTTTGTGTATTTCGAAGCTGTGTTCTTGGGTGTGTACACACTTAGTATTGCCCTGTGTTCTTGAATAAATTGATCTCTTGATCAGTGTGCAATGTCCCTCTTTATCTCTAGTCATATTCCTTTTTCTGAAGCTTACTATGTTTAATATTAATATATATACTCCCGCTTTCTCTTGATTAGTGTTTGTATGGTATATTTCTGCCCATACTTTTGTTTTTAACCTTCCTATGTCTTATATTTAAAGCCTGGTTATTGTAGAAAGCATATAGTTGGGTCTTGCTTTCTTATCCAGTTTAACAATCTGCCTTTTAATTTGAATGTTTAGCTCATTTACATTTGTTACTATTGATATGGTTCAGTTTAAATCTACTGTCTTGCACTTTGTTTTCTGTTTGTCTCAATTCTTCCTGGTATTTTCCTCTTTTCCTGCCTTTTTAAGAAAAATCGAATGAGTTTTGTTTTTTTTTTTTGCGGTACGCGGGCCTCTCACTGTTGTGGCCTCTCCCGTTGCGGAGCACAGGCTCCAGACGCACAGGCTCAGCGGCCATGGCTCACGGGCCCAGCCGCTCCGTGGCATGTGGGATCTTCCCGGACCGGGGCACGAACCCGTGTCCCCTGCATCGGCGGGCGGACTCTCAACCACTGCGCCACCAGGGAAGCCCTCAAATGAGTTTTTTAATAATTCCAATTAATCTCCACTATTGACTTATTAGTTATACCTCTTTTAAAATTTTTTATTGGTTGTTCTAGAGATTATAGTATATTCCTTTAGCTTATTCCAACTGTTCAAATAAAATTATTCCACTCTTCATGCAGCGCAGGATGCAGTATAAGAACCTTACAGCAGTGGACTTCTGTTTCCTCGCCCCCTATTGTCTTCCTGCATTTTACCTCTGCACAAGTTACAAACCCTACAATACCTTGTTACTATATTTGCTTCAGATAGTCAACTATCTTTCTAAAGCAACTAAAATGAGAAAAAAAAATATGTATATATATATATATATATATATATATACATATATATATATATTTTTGGCGGTACGCGGGCCTCTCCCATTGTGGAGCACAGGCTCCAGACGCGCAGGCTCAGCGGCCATGGCTCACGGGCCCAGCCGCTCCGCGGCATGTGGGATCTTCCCGGACCGGGGCACGAACCCATGTCCCCTGCATCGGCAGGTGGACTCTCAACCACTGCGCCACCAGGGAAGCCCGTGAAAAATATTTTTTATATTTGCTATCATTTTTACCATTTTCGTGCTTTTTAGTTCTTTTTGTAAACTGTCCATTTCTGTCAGATATCCTTTTGCCTCAAGAACTCCCTTTAACAATTCTTGTTAGCACAAGACCACTGTCAATGAGTTCTCACAGCTTTCGTTTGTTGGGAGGCTTTTATTTCACTTTAATTTTTTCTTTAATTGACAGACTTCATTTTTGTGAGCAGTTTTAGGTTTGCAGAAAAACTGAGCAGGACGCACAGAGAGTCCCCGTATTCCCTAACTGCCCCAGCATGCCCAGCTCTTCCAGTGACCTGCAGCACGTGAATCAGACTTATTTTCAAGTCCTCGTCTGACTGTTCCCACGTCGGCGGCCGATAACCTCACCCCTCCACGTCTCCCTACCCAACACCCGCTCATCCGCACGCTCGTCTCCCTGCCTCGTTCCTCCACGTCCTTCTTCTCCATCTTTAGAATCGCATCACTGTTGGTCATCATCGATTTTCCTGCCTCCTTACGGGCCTCGACTGTGAGCTCCTTCAGAGCGGGACCTGGAACTTGCTGGTCTCCGCACCCCCGGCTTCCTGCCCCTAGTCCAGGGCCAGTGGGGCTAAACTCATGATCATAACTGCACGAGTGGGTGAGGGAAAGAAGGGACAGAGACACCAAGCGTTCCTTCCGTGGTGACATTTCCAGGGAACATTGCCATGTGAAATCAAGCCATCCTCTTTCTTTATGTTTAAAAAAAATTCGCAGAAATAATACATGCTGTTTGAAATTTAGCAGTTTCAGGAGTTAAATAGTGAGAGTCTCCCTCCCTCCCGCACTATAATCTTAGATAGTACCCATGAGCCGTTCAGTGTATATATCCTTCCACACGTTTCCTAAATGAGTGTACGTATATATGAGTGTGTTTATATGTACATGTATTGCACACATATGCAAAAACATAATTTTGTTAAGAAATGGGTTCATACTGTATGTAAAATTCTTCCTCTTGTTTTTTCATTTCATGTATCATGGGCATCTTTCTAACTCAGTGTATTTCTATAGGTACCTTTAAAAATGGTTGTATGGCATGGCAGTGTATAGCTACATCGTAATTTATTTTAGCTTCCCTCTTTTGATAGACATTTTGATGGCAATTCTTTGCTTATATCGTAATACGGTTGGTGGCTGATGCACTAGAGGCCTCATCGTGTGCCAGGTGCCATGCTCTGAGCTTCCCGTGCACGATCTCATGGTCTCATTTAAGCTTCCTCACACTTTCCTGAGGTGCACAGTTGTCCACTGTTCTTTCATGTCATTAGCACAGCTGACAGAAGTATCGACTCTGATGCTTCTGGACTCTGCTCATCCGCTATGACCTCGCCAGGTCATTCCGACATCAAGCAGCCAAAGTGTTGGTGCCAAAGCACCAATGTGTTTGCGTCTTTAGCTCTCTCGCGTTCTGCATTCACAGCGGTGGATGTGCCCCTGCTTCAGGGCCCTCTCTTACCCCTTTCCTTGCTTTCCTTAAGAGGGCAGGCCTCCTGTGACCACTTGAGGCTGCATGCAGTTCTGTCTATCCGTTCTATGGCCCTACAAGCAGATTGGGGATCTTAGTTGCTTGATTTCCCCCGGGAGGCTGCCATGAATGTGGTCCAGTGAAATGTAATCAGGGACTTCATAGTGTCTGTTCCGGCTTCTTCCCGGACCGGGGCACGAACCCGCGTCCCCTGCATCAGCAGGCGGACTCTCAACCACTGCGCCACCAGGGAAGCCCACTTATATTTTTAAGTTGTACATTTCCAAGAAATTGTATGTAAGCTTTGATAGCTGATTGGCTTGCTTTAGATTTTGATCATTTTAACCGAAAATAGAAAAATAAACCCTTCCATATAGCTCCCATATTAGTTTAAAATATTCATATGAGTATGACACAACACTTTTAAAAAGGCCCAAGTGGATGTTTTGAGTCCTTAAATGGATTCTCTTTGTAAATGAGTCACCGTTTACAGTGCTGAAGCAATTATATGTGTTAAATTTAATGTGGTATATTGGAGCTAGAGCCGCTCTTTTGTTTAATGCTTTGCCTTAGAAACAATTGGGGTGCGTGGATTGTGGGGGAGTGCATTTATGAAAGAATTATTTGTAACGTATACATTCTGGCTGGAATTTGAATAAGCACAACCCATAGGTCTCGCATATATGCCATTAGTTGTAATCGGTTTTGGACGCTGGCCCGGCATGCAGACGTCTTGCCCCCTCCTTGATTTATATATGGCTTTTTATAATAGAGTTGTCATTCTCTCCTCTTTTTATGTTTTTGTATTGCCGTATAGCTTATCAGCTTTTTAAGCTTGTCTGTAGCATAAATACTCTAAATGGGAAATGATTTTTAACCTGCATTTGTCTAATTTCCTTGATGAAGTATTTTAGTAAGAAAAGCTAGAAACTATCAATATATACTATATAAGATGCTTGGCTTATTCTTATATAATTCTTTGTCTCATTTTTTTATTGCTGCAGAGCCCACAGTGCGGGCTGAGCTGCTGGAACAAATTCCTCCTATTGCCATTTTTCTACAAGAAAACAGGTCTGATTTTCCAGTGGTGCTCTCTGAACATCTCATACCCATCGTGGTGCGGTGCCTCGCAGATCCAAACAACCAGGTGTGAAAAATTATAACCTTAAGGTCCTCGTAGCAAATTCTCTTTCGTCTTATTTCCGCTGATGTTCGTAATTCAGGAAACAGCTGCTTAGAGTTAAGTGACTCAGGAATGAAAGGTCCCTTTGTGCCCAGTTTCTTTAATCACATAGGAAGGTAGATGGCACGCATTCTTATTATCATATTTCTTTTTCTTCCCCACTTTTTATTATGTAAATTTCCAAACACACCTAGCCGTGGCGAGAGTATTAAAATGAATGCCCATGTACTCTCCACCCAGCTCCAACTATCATTAACACTTGGCCAGTCGTTTTTCATTTATCTTACCCAGATAAATCCAACCCAGATAAAAGCATTTCCCAGACATTTCAACTGTAAATGCTTTAGTATTGCTCCCTAAGAAATACAGACGCTTAAAGAATCCCCAGAGCGACGGTACCATTATCACAAGTATAAAAACTATCAGTAGGTCCTTAGTGTCATCTAACATCTAGTGACTGTTCAAATCTTCCCAGTTTTGTCATAAATCTGCTTTTTGCAGATGGTCTGTTCAAACCAGAATACGCACAAGGTCTACACATTGCATTCGATTGATGCGCCTTTTAAATCCCCTTTAATTTGTAACAGTTCTTCCTCCTCTGCTATGTGTTTGTATTTGAGGAAACTAGGTCATTAGTCCTATAGGTTTGTCCACATTTGTGATCCGGCTGATTGCATTTCCACAATCCGGCTGATTGCATTTCCACAATCCGGCTGATTATTGTTTGAGATGCTCCTCTTTTCCCAGCATTTCCTCCAAACTGGTGAAGTCTAGAGGCTCAGTCAGACTCAGAGTTTTGTATTGTATAGTGAGAGCACTTTTTAGGTGTTGCTGTGTTTTCCTGCTGCATCAACTCAGGAAGCACAAAAGCAGTGTCGTCACCGGATTACGTTTTGTCAGCCTTATCTGTTTATGACAGAGTTCCTCATCAATCTGTGATCAACCATTAGTTATCATCACCTAGATCTGGGATTTTGTTAGAGGTTGCAAAATTGTGATGCTCTAATTCCGTCATTCCTTCTTTTATTTTCTATTTTTTGTTGATGTACAGTTGGTTTACAATGTTGTGTTAGTTTCAGGTATACAGCAAAGTGATTCAGTTATACATACATACATACATATGTATATATATTCTTTTTTTTTTTTTGGTACGCGGGCCTCTCACTGTCATGGCCTCTCCCGTTGCGGAGCACAGGCTCCGGACGCGCAGGCTCAGTGGCCATGGCTCACGGGCCCAGCCGCTCCGCGGCACGTGGGATCCTCCCGGACCGGGGCACGAACCCACGTCCCCTGCATCGGCAGGCGGACTCTCAACCACTGCGCCACCAGGGAAGCCCCATATGTATATATATTCTTTTTCAGATTCTCTTTTCTTATAGGTTATTACAAAATGCTGAGTGTATTTCCCTGTGCTATATAGTAGGTCCTTGTTGGTTATCTTTTTTATATATAGTAGTGTGTATCTGTTATCAACATCATTCCTTCTTCTGTTTTAAAATAAATTTATTTATTTATTTATTTTTGGCTGCGTTGGGTCTTCGTTGCTGCCCGCAGGCTTTCCCTAGTTGCAGTGAGCGGGGGCTACTCTTTGCTGTGATGCGCGGGCTTCTCATTGCGGTGGCTTCTTTTGTTGCGGAGCACAGGCTCTAAGCATGTGGGCTTCAGTAGTTGTGGCACGCAGGCTTAGTAGTTGTGGCTCACGGACTCTGAGCACAGGCTCAGTAGTTGTGGGCTTAGTTGCTCCAGAGCATGTGGGATCTTCCCAGACCAGGGCTCGAACCTGCGTCCCCTGCATTGGCAGGTGGATTCTTAACCATTGTGCCACCAGGGAATCCCTCATCATTCCTTCTTAATTTAATAGCTGGAATTCTTCCATAAAGAACTTCCCCCTCAGCTATTTGGTAACTCTGAAAAACTGTCTATGGGAGACAGGTTAAATGATTTACTTTTACCCTTTATTTACCAGTTTCTAGAATAATCAGTCGGTATCCTAATAATCTACAAGGTTACCAATTAGGTTTTAAAACTTTATGTTGAGTACTATTATGAACTCCTGAATTTTAACATATTAGATATGTTTTAAGCCACTGTAGTTTTTATTCTTTTTAATAATCAAATTGTCCTAGTTTTGACCAGAGGTAACCCTTCAGGTTGGCTCCTGAATTTTCTTAATGTGATCCAGTAGACTTTGCTAGCTCACTTTACCTGGAATCAGCTATTTCTCCAAGGAGCCCTGGTTCCTTTATGAGGGAAATAATAATAAGAAACGAGAATGTGGGTACCAGAGATGCTCATTGCTACAAGAGTGGTCATGGCTTCTAGTGACAGAGCAATTTATTTTCTTAAAAAAATAAAAATTCCTCATGAGTTTATATTGATATTTCCAACTCAAATTTAAGATTATAGGGCTTTTACTTACTTGATTTTTATATTTGTATCTTTTTATTTGTTTGTTTTTTACGCAGTATAAATCTTCCTTCTTCATGGTATTAATGTGTGTGTGTGTGATGTGTATGTGTGTGTATCTAAAATAAAAATACCAGTAGTATTACTAACAACCTGGTAGGATTACTGAATATAGTTTAAGATTTCTTTGCAGTTCTTTTTGCTTTTAGGCTATCTCCAAGTAGAGATGCACAGTCGTATTAATATTACTGTATTTTAAAGTCACTTGCATTAACCCTTCTTTTTGTGGTTAAGCTGCCATCCTGATACACAGTTAGGCTCATTTGTTTTCATTTATTTTTCATTTTTAAGAATTGCTTTAGCTTTTACATTTTGATCTAATTTAGACTTGTAATTATTTAAAATGTTTTTACATGATTCTAAAGTCAAAACTGTAAAAGAAAGTACATTTAGAGAAATCTGATTTCTACTCCTGTCTCCCTCCCCGTTCTCCCTCTCCCCTATGGATGTTCATTTTTGTTAGCCTTTGGTTTGTTCTTGCCTTCAAAAAATACACACGCACAAATAACTCTAAGCAAATACACGTATGTCCTTGTATCCTGTACCGCCTTGTTCCGCTCTCAGGTGTGAGGTGGCATACTGTCCCTGGTGCTCTCTCCCTTGCTTTTCCCATTGTCTTGGTGTCCCGGAGATTAGCCCATGACAGGCGAGGGAAGGCATCCTCGTTACTTTTCCCAGCATCAGAGCACTCCACTGTACTTTATCCATAGACCTTAGGTCATGTCTACCCTTTGCCACATTAAAATTGTTGCAACAAATAACCTTGTGTCATTTCTGTTTCTGTCAGTTGATTCTGGGGATGGATTTCCACTAATTTTTTTATGATATGCCAAGTTTTTGTTATTGTCATTGCCAAGAAAGTCTACAGTTTTGACTTGTATTTTTCCCTTGATCCAAGCATTCTTAAAAGAGCAGATGCTCACTTTTGACTATCAGACAGTGTGATGGGATTAAGGATGTTTTTTTTAAAATTTTTTGTGGTACGCGGGCCTCTCACTGTTGTGGCCTGTTCCGTTGCGGAGCACAGGCTCCGGACGCGCAGGCTCAGCGGCCATGGCTCACGGGCCCAGCCGCTCCGCGGCATGTGGGATCTTCCCGGACCGGGGCACGAACCCGCATCCCCTGCATTCGCAGGTGGACTCTCAACCACTGCGCCACCAGGGAAGCCCAAGGATGGCTTTAAATAAGGAAAGAAGTCATCCTGCCTCCACTGTCCTGTCGTCAGTATTTTGGTTATTTTCGCATTTTCTTCTCTGGGCGCTTACATGTTTTCCTACGTAGGTCTCATCATAATGCAATGCGGTTTCCCCCGTCCATGCACTTGTTCAGACGGCTTCTGAGTGCCCCTCACGAGCTGCGCATGGCGCTTCTTGCTGGGGATGAAGAGATGAGTAGGACGGATTTTTCTACCCTAGGAAGCTCGTCTGTGTGTCATAAACGTTGTACATCTTCATAGTCTTCATATTTTTAATTGTTTTGAATGCTTAGGTTCCTTTCAGCTTTCTTGTCCTGTAGATGCAGTGAGCTTCACAAAAGTTGCAGTTTTATTTTTCTGTCGGCTTTTCTTTTTCCTTTGGATACATTCTTAAAAATGAAGTTATGCTGGGTTGGCCTTTGGCCTTGGCCTCTGTCATGTATCACTGTCTTACATTCGACTCCAGAGGAGGGAGGCAGGAGCCGTGGTTTTGGTCCCAGGCTCTCGCGTGGTTCCTGACACTCAGCCTGTGTTTGCTGAGGAGTCATGTCCATGGCGCAGAGCCGGCTCTCCCCACTGTCGGCCTGTGCTGTTCACGCACCTCCGCTGCCCGCCTCCGCCCTGCTGTACCTCGGTCGCTCCTTTCCTGGGGTCTCCAGAGCTGCCTCCTCTGAAGTCCTGAAGATGTCGTCCACTCTCTCACCATTGACTTCCTACTGCCCTGAGCCCACCTGCCCTGGAGACCTCTGGCTCCCCGACCCCCTCTGTGCCCTGCTGTTACTTCCTGTTCTTCCTCAGCTGCTCCCTCTCTCATCCTGCCCTTTAGGCCGTCTCCACCATCACGCTCCAGTTCTTTCCCTTGGACCGCGCTTCCGCCCTCCCGGCCCTGCCACCCGCAGCCCACCGGCCCCCTCCATCCTGGGTTCCTATCTTGGTAGGGGAGTCACATCGTGCGCTGACTGGGGCCATTGCAAATTTATGGGTTCTGGTCGCCGCGGGACTTGCAGGGCTGCCTGGCAATCCTTTTACTTGTCCCTCCTCAGCTGCCTTTCGCATTATCCTTGGCGGCTCTTTTAGACCTTTGCCGCTTTCATCAAGCCTCTTCACCTCACCCTGCCTTGCGCCTAGCCGGTGACCTTGCATTTTACTTCCCAGAGAAAACAGAGGCCTTCAGTCTTCATGCCCTCTCTCAGTGCATGGAACCGCCATCCACTTCCTTCAGTTCCCCAGAGCCACAACCTGGGAACCACCCAGATCTTTCCTTCTCTCACCTGCTATAGCTGGTTAGGCCCAAGTCTCCTTT